GGAAAAAAAAAGAGAAAGCAAGAAATTACTTTATAAATGGACATATCTTCTAATATGTACAATGTTCCCTTTAGAAGCCAAATGGTTCATGAACATTACACTTTATGTAATATCACAAATGCACAAAATATGCTTTGTATATGATTGCAAAAACAGCAGTACTCTGGAGCCAAGCACATAGCTTAATATTATAATAATGAGTCTACTTCAATGTAGTGGATTTTAATAAGATTTTAATAATACTGGTATGAAGCCAAATTACATAATGTCCCAAAATATGAAACAAAGCTTTTATAGAGAAAATAAAAGCTCACTGAAGTATAACCACATTTAAAAAATAAAACAACAACCACCAATGTTATCTAAACAAAGCCATTAGGCATACTTAATTTTAAAAAAATCAAATTAGAGAAAAGGAACTCAAATCTATTCCCAGATCTCAAGATAAAATTAAAAAGGATATTATTTTAGGCAACATTTATGAAAATGAAGGTACTACGCCAGCACTGGGAAACAAGCTAATATCATAATTGCCTCTTCTGGCACAGATATAGGTTGACTATCTCCAATTTCTCTCAAAGGACAAAAAATTATTCAGTTACCATACAGGTTGATTTTAAGACTGAGCTATGCTGGATTGTCTAGAAACAGCTTAGACCAATAAAACAATTTCCTTCTACACATGAAAACCAACTCCACGTAAGACTCCCAAAGGTAAAGAGCCAAATGATTTGCTCCCTCAACCCCCTCCAATTCTGGAGTCTTGGGGAAAACGAGAACTAGAAACCACCTGCAAACCTCAGTCCAGCACAGACTGTTCTCCAAATGGTTTTCTCTCTCGCCCTTCCCATGTAGGACAGTGTCAGACAGCAATTAAAACCAAAATCAGTGTTTCATTTGTTAGGTAACGCACGCAAAGTATCAGACATACTCAAAGCTGTATCACCTTTTAAATATTAGTGTTATGCCAGCTGGAAGATTAGCACTGGCATGACTGACATTTTTAGTCCTTTATTAGGATCAACTATATAGATCCACACATACAATAGAGAGCTCAACAGGTATTAGCATATTCCAACGTATCACTGGTTACAATAAGTCCCACTGCTAAGCTGAGTCTAAATCAATGCTGACAGCCTCTCAGAGCATGCGGTGATGAATACAGCAAGAATCAGAACAGTTTTCTTCACATACATTACACTGTCTCATCTACATGTCTCTAGACTTTTTAAGCAGTTTTGATAAAGGCATTAAAATTTTTAAGTAGATTTAGATTCCACATGACAAGATGAATTGAGGAGGACATTTTATGCCTTGGATTTCTTAGAAGTCTTACTTTAGCTACAGAAACCATTAAAAAGTTGCAAGTAACTTCAAGATGAAAGGCATTAGCAGCTTTTTAGAAAAGGATAATCACAGTCTTCTAGAGACTTAATGAGACTTAATTCACAAGCTTTTGACTTGGTCTGCTGTTAATTGAATCAAAGTCGATGATGATCTTGTTACACTTTGGTTTGAATTCCCTAAAATAAAGAAAAATACAGATACTAGTTAGTGAGTAGTTAAAACATTTTGCTTGCTTTAGCTCCAGCTAAATCTTTGAAGGAATGAAAAAAAACCCTCCTTGGATTCACATAGTTTTCATCTCTATGGGAGCCAATTATAGTGCACCACACTGAGAGAAACCTGGACAAGAAAGACTAAGACAAAAAAGACACACGGGGTGGGTTCGCCTGTACGTCCCTCGACTATTGGAGTTCATAAATTACCCAGGAGTCAGAGGACTTTTAACAATTTAGTTTCAGGTGGTGGCATCATGTTACCAGGGCTGGGATTTTTGATCACATATATTTATATTTCAAATATTTTTATATATATATATTTACAGATATAGGTACACATATGCATCTATAAAATATTTTACATACAGTATAAGTATTATATATACAGATACATGTGGATATATAGACGACAGTTGGAATACATTTCAATAAACATTTTGATCACTTTTTTTCCTGCCAAGTTTTCAAAGAACACTTTCAAACTTTGCCTCAGTATATTAAAATATTTTCTGTGCTAGGGGAATAGATCCCATTATGCATCATACTGGGGAAAAACCAAACTGGTTAAGAGGGAACCATTTAAAAATTGTAACTTGAGAACTGTAAAATTAATACTGCCACAAAATGTTTCCTTTTATTATCATTAGAGCATCTGCTACAGCAATTAGCAAGGAAGGTATTTGGGGACCAAGCATATATTTTCCAGTCTACCAGTAAACAAAGGATTATGCAAATAGTGTGGATTTAGTGCCTAATTAAGCTTTGCAGTTCAGTTCAAGAGATTCATTAAGTACCACCTACATCCTTCATAATCAATACAAGAATGAATAACAGTCAACACAGAGAAGCACATGCTGCTGACCGCAGAAACTCTGATTACTTTGTCCAGAATAGCAATCTGAAATGCAAGAAGCATTTCTCACCCTGGAGAAGTTACAAGATTTGACTTGCAAGAGAATGATTTATGCTTCCCAGTCAAAGAGTCTTAGTAGACAGGAAATACACTGAAGGACTAAAACTGAATTTTGAGTACTGCTGTGTTTTTTCATGGATGTTTCTTAGCCCAGTAGGTACCCTTCATCCTAAAATTTTATCTGTCAGAATTGTTATGTTTGTAATTTTTTTCAAGTCTTTATATTAATATTGTAAAACTTTTTACAGAGTTGCAAAGTCTCCCTGACTGCATAATTAGCCTCACCCACAGCATGTTATTGCAATCAAACTAGCTGTGGAACAGATTGTCTTTAGGTACCTCTGTCAGTGTCTTTAAAACCTCCACTCTTCAAACATTTCTCAGATTCTTATTACTTTAAGGCAAATGTTCCAAGTTTTATCCTTTTTCTCACAAGAGAAGCTGACCAAAGAAGACTGGACAACTATAGGCACCAAGAATACAGGTGGCTGATTTGACACCTTCTCAAATTGACTGGAGCAAAAAGATACTAAATTTTCAATAAGGATCAGGTAATCCACAAAAAAAATAAATCAGTTGGTCATTTCAGGCCAACTCACAGGATCACAGGCTAATTCAGGTTGTAAGGGACATCAGGAGGTCCTCTAAGTCTAACCTCCTGCTCAAAGCAGGGTCATCGATGTCTCTCCCGAGTACAATGTAACAAATAACCATCACATTCACAATTTCACGTGCAGTCCAGGAATGAAATGAGTATTCCAAATGGACTACTTTCTCATACAAATGTTATGAAATTGAAATTTAATCATACACAAGGCAAAAAGAATGGTTCAACAGTCTGTCAATCCAGTATCTTTTGCAGGCAGATAGAGCAAGCCATCTGCAAACAATACCAAAGAATAAAACACTGCATGAGGCGAAGAAAAATTTTTGCCCTGAAGTTAGTCTCTTTCACACCATTTTCTTCCTTTCCAAAATAAAGTTAATCCAAATTTCTCTTACCTGTATATAATACCTGCTAAATCAAACATCCGCCGTGCAGCTGTCATTTCCAGGGTGTCATGATACTTGTCAGACATAAAAATAACTTCTTTTATGCCTAAAAAAGCCACATAGAAAAATGTTAGACTTACACCAGAAAAAAAAAGTAATGCCATATAAAAACTGGTGCACAAAATCAGACAAGGCAGCATTCATCCACATAAGCTAGAACGTCCTGCTATACCCCTATTTCCCAAAATACTAGAGATTGTACTTGAGAATAAGGCTATATAAGGTAAAGCTGTTCTGGAAGATCATTCTTTCAAAAATGTTGGAAAATGTTCTTCTCCAGTTTCACCTAAGTTTAACTCAGGAAACCAGGTCAAAAACCTCACAGGCAAAAACACAAAGTAGACAGACTAGAAATTAAGCATTTTTGCAAAAAATAATTGAAAACTTACCTTTCTAGCTCTCTAATATTAATAAAAGTCTCCACAAAGAATGTAAACCCCAAATCCTGTTCCCCTTCCAAATGCACAGCTACAGAAGGATGCTTTTTGCTTTTGTTCTCTGTTTTACAAATAAGTCCCAATGTCATGCTCAAATCCTCATAAATGCATGCTGTCTCAAACTACTGAATGATCTATCCCTAAATTACTTATGCAGGAGAGATGTGCAAAGGCTGGCCCAAGAGAATACTGACACCTTACTGTGTTTACCAGACTACGTAAGTATCTCTACTTTGCAATTTAGTGCTGACCTCAGTGCGAAAGGATGAGTGACTGTAACGAGAACATGCAGCCAATCTACCTCAAAGACCATTTGATTTTGATTCTGTAAACAAGAGGAATGTAGCACAAATACAGAATACCGTAATCTTTCTCACTTCTCCTCTCTTCAGTTCAAACCGTACTGACCAAAATAAAGCAGCATTCTGTTTGTTACTTTCTTCTTAGATTCTCACAGCCATTAGTGGTGAGAGAAACTCCCCAGAACAGCAATCCATGTTAGGATTGCAAGACTTTACTCAGCGAGCAAAATATACGCTACTTTAAACAGAGATTTTTACGAAACTGAAACCTACTGCAGATATGCCCAATCTGAAAAGAGGTGACACATTGAGGCCAGCACCCTTGCTGCAGTGGCAGAGATTTATAACTATTGTAATGAAAAACATAATAAAGTAGGATCATAGAAGTCTTATGACATATATGAGCAAAGATATTTTAAAATCTCCAAATATCTACCATGTATCACATTCAAATTAAAATTTCATGTATATACTCCCAAAAGGCCTTTTGTCATGCATAAGTTTATTTCTTTCTGCCATACTCTATTCAATGTGTCAGAGCACAGTAAAATTGACAGTAATTACATGCAAAGTCTGTGTTGTTCTTTGGCAGCTCCTGGTCTAAAAAGTTACAAACCTAAATTAGAAGCACACTTAAAATCACAGAAGATGCAATTAGCACTGGAAAAATTTGGCACCATTCAGATGCAAAAAAACCCCACAAGTAGCATCTTATGAAGCTGACAGTACAATTAATTTAGATCTAACAGCGGCAATGTAACATCAAATACAACGGTGATAAGATACCAAAGTGCAGGCAGCACTGCAACCCTGACAAATCAGGCTGGCTCTACTCCTTACCTGCCTGGATGATGAGCTTCGCACATTCATTACATGGAAATAAGGCAACATACATGCTGCAGCCCTTCACATCAGCTGAGTTTTTGTTCATGATGGCGTTCAATTCAGCATGGCACACTGATGTGGAAAAAAAAAAGAAACAGTTCATAATATCATTCATTAAAATAAATCAGTCAAACTAAAATTAAAGAGTTACAGCATAACGGCTTACATCCTTTCAGAAGCAAATAGCTTGCACAGCTTGTCATAAAGGGCAGAGGAAGAAATAAAAGCAGAAATACCAAGATCAATGAAGGTCAATTGTTCTGACCAGGCTGCCGATTAGTAATGATATCATTAAGCGCATTAGCATTGCCATTTGCTAACACCTATTGCAGGCAACAAAGCCACAGGCTGTGGGCCAAGTAGTTGCAACCACCCTAAAGGGAAGCAATATCTCACAGCTTCACAACTCTCTGGAGTATCTAATTGCCAGTATAAAACAGCTCATTTATGTGTTTACATGCACAGATAGGAACAGTCTTATGGTTATAAGAGCGCGCTGTGTGCTCTTAAAGGCAGGAGAATCGCGAAGTAAAACCGAGCAGCTCTGTCCTCTGGGTCTCAGAACAGCTCAGCACTGCTGCATGATTCTCCCACCCCAAGAATACACAAGACACACTCAACCATAAAAATGTCCCAGCTTTAATATTAAAGTGAGTTTACTGCTCATTAAAAGGTGCCAGACTTCCCAAGCAGGAAAACAAAGTGCTCTGTTTCTCCATGGATTTGAGATAGGCCAGGTAGCAACAGACTACCCTGCCCTGTTCCTCCATAACACAACAGCTCTTTCTGGACGGATCGCACCTTAGGGCTTAAGTTTTTATGCTGTACACATCAGCAGATTATCTCATGTGTTGTCAACGCAGTTTCTGTGTCATCCACCATGAACCTCTGAAAAAAACGTTAGGATTTCAGAGAACTTCCTGTTTACTCCTAGGAACGACAGCAAGTTGCATAATTTATATACCTAACTACCACGAAACTCCCTGCTGCCCTGCCTTACTTCGGAAACAGGTGCTGAAACGAGGTGTGGGTTTGAGCTCAGCTAGAGACCTGCACATGCAGACAACATTAAGAGGTTTTCCACTGCTTGTTTTGAAGAATGGATTTTTTAAAAAAAAAGTTTCCTCTCCCCTGAATACATGGGAACATTAAAACAGGCAAAGTTACTAGCACAGGCTGATAGTATACTTGCTACTATGTACTGACCTTTGTGTGAATGATCTCACCACATAAAGAATAACTGAGTGCAGCACCTTCAACACACAGGAATCCTTGCTGAATGGAAATGTTTTCCATATGCACTAAATGTCTACATGGAATTTTCTATATAGCAGCTAATGCACTATAAATTTAGAGCCTAACATAGAGCACACAAGCTTTCCCATGCAGACAAGTCACAAAGGACCAAACACTTGCTAAAGAAAGCTCAGTACTGACTTCCCAGCACCACCGTGACCCTGCTGTCCACATGCCTTCTCATAAACAGTAAAGCCAGGAACTAACATAAAAAATAGGAAATGAACAAAAAAACCCCCAAACAAGTACCACCAATTTAAGCTTTCTATTACTATTATTATTGTTTCTATTGCAACTGTAACTGGGTCACACTGTATTTTAAACATATAATATTAAGTGTACGAAATATACAATTACATGAATCTATACATTTAGAAATCCAGAAAATACATTTAACTCCAAGTATATTACTGAGTTGCATTAACCTTATATTTCACTGAGTGAAAAAGTGTCGTAATTTCAGCAACTGGAACTAGGTTATGTCAACAAGACAAAAACATCGCTTCTAAGTTTCTTTGAACAATATACTTATGTTCTTAGGTAGCAGTCTAAAATATGGTAGGCTTCCAGAAAGAAAGGTGAGGGAATGTTTACAAAGGCTCTAAAAAACTAAAAAAACCCAAAACCACCCAACTAATTCCTTCAGTAAATATTTTTCCTTCAGTTAAACTCAGAAATCATCAGCTATAAAACCAGACAAGTTCCATTATTAGCACTGCAACAGGTTTCCTTCCCGCACTGATGAAAAAGAAAGGCTCTTTCCATAGTCTTCTACAAACTTTCAACAACAAACCTCTTCCCAAGCAAAAACAAGTTCAGGCCAAAAATAACTCCTAAAAGATCGTCAGCTGGAGCGAGGGAAAAGAGAAATTTTGCCTCCTGATCATCTTAACACAATCTGAAGTTCAGAACAATTACAACTCTCCAGTGTGGAAAGAAGGCACGAAGACAGTAATGAGGAAGAAACAGAGATTAATCATCCCAAGACAAAAAGTAGTGGGGTCTCTAACAAACCCAGCAGGGTTTCATTTCAGAAACAAAAGGAGATAGGTTTTTCATGCACATTGTAGCCTAACCCAGTATTTCTTACTGCAAAAAGCAGTATGAGACTAAAGGTTTGCACTGATACCAGAAGTAATCTATTTCTTTCCAACATATTTTTTTTTTCATCCTACTGGGCTATTAAATACAAATTCCTTTTGGCTGTTGTTGGAACTTGGAAGAATATCCTGGGCAAGTATCATCATGTGTGTCTTTGTTTTGTATATATTTCCCTAGACATCTGCTACTGGCCTCTGGAAGGGATATTATGGTTAGATGATCCTTAAGAAGGTTTCCACAGAATCACAGAACGTTACGGATTGGAA